CATGGAAAACATACGGAGAAATGCAGATGATGCAGCTTTTCAGTTTAAGACAATTGATGTGACCGTGGAAGAAGGAAATAGAGCTGCTGCACATGAGCTCGACATCAGTGAGTTGATGGTGAGACGTTGGCAACAGCAGCGTGACAAACTGACTCGGTGCAAAAAAACTACAAAAGCTTTCAGAGATGATAAAAGCAGATGGCTCCAACTTGAAAACGTTCTTGAAGACGTGGACACCTGCGGATTATAGACAAGTGCAGCCTATATGTAATAATAATAATAATGCATCAGTTTTATATAGTACTTTTTTGGACACTCAAAGGGGCTTTACAGATCATTATTCATTCACTCTATACCGGTGGTGGTAAGGCACCTGATTTTCACAGCGGTCTCCCATCCAAGTACTGACCAGGCCCAGCTCTGCTGAGCTTCTGAGTTCTGATGGGATCAGGCCTTGACAAGCTGGTATGGCCATATGTACAATTATAGAGATGAAACAGTAACTGAAATATTGTGATATCGTATCATCAGAGTTCTCACAATAATACCCAAAACATGCTCCATAGATCTCCAGGAAGAACAGTTGATAGCTAAGATCAATTAAATACAAAACATCAATGAACCTGCCCAGGGACGACAGGTGGAAACTAGCACTGGTGCTACAACCTGGTACAATGCACCTCTCCTGTTAAGGCTAATGTAAAAATTGTGCGCTGTTCCTGTCTCATTAAATAAAATAATGTAATAATGTGATGTGGACCATCACAATATATCGAATTACAAGTCTCTTTGCTTAAATGAAGAGTTATGGTGCAGCAATAGAAAAAAAAACAAAAAAAACGCGGAACTACAAAGACCATGATCCTTTGCTTCATTTCAATTTAGACAACAAGAAGAAAAAACAGTTCTTAGCACTTTTAAGTCTTAGTTCTTTGGATTAAGTCTTGTCAAGGCATTTTAAGTGGAAAAAGTAACATATTAGTCTCCAAAAAATATCACATAAATATCGTACTGTGAGGTTCATACTGTGGCAATATTGTATTGTGAGACTTGGATATCATTACACCCCTATACAGTTGTTTTTTTCTTTTAAAATTTAGTTGATGTGGCTTATATTCAGGTGCGCTCAATAGTCCGGAAATTACGGTAATTTGTTTGAAACAGTTTGCAGTGGTCCAAAGTTATTCCTCACTCAGAGCTTCCTAATTATTCACTGGGATGAGTTCTTCTTAACAAGATTTCTTTTCTGTGTGTGTGTGTGTGTTTTCCATCACGGTAAAGCTAACAGCAACTAGCATGCTTAGAAAGCACTTTCTGATTCTCTAACCCCAAAATGCTTTATCACTGGATGCAGACAGAACATCGTAGATTTCTGTACTGGGGTAAAGTGACATTTCTTGCTTCATCACCCAGGGTTTTTGAAAGCATCTTATTTTTGCTAGAATGTGTGTGCGTGTGTGTGTGTGTGTGTGTGTGTGTGTGTGTGTGTGTGTGTGTGTGTGTGTGTGTGTGTGTGTGTGTGTGTGTGTGTGAGTGTGTGTGCATGTGTGTGTGTTTGCGTGTGTGTGTGCGTGTGTGTGTGTGTTTGTGTGTGTGTGTGGTGTAGCGAGAGCTTTGAGAAATCGTTTCACTTGCTAACTAATAGTTTGAAATTGAATTTTTCAGCGTTGTGAAAAGACATTAGCAAACCCCTCAGTATTCTGCACCACCCAATAAGACTCCCACACAATAGTCAAAATATTAAAATGAATGCAAAATCTGTATCTGTTGAAATCACTTGAATTTTTGTCTTGATTTGTGATTTCAGTAGTTTAGGCCTAGATTCTATTTATGCTGGATAAATATATTTCTCTTAAAGCTACAGTGTGTAACTTTTTTTTTTACCAAAATATGAACTAAAATCAAAGCATTATTTTTTCAGTTTGGTTGTTTTTATTGCACTAAAAGAGTAGAAAAACATGCATTGTGTGAGTGGGCTTGCATCTCTGCAAACCTAACTCTTCCGAAGTTCCGAAGTGTGGTTTTAACTTTCTACATGGATTCAGACAGGTCCAGTGCCAATTTCAGAAAGTTACATACTGAACCTTTAAATTGGGCTGATAACTATTGCCCAGTTTACTTTCAACGATGCAATGAAACAATTTTAAAGTCAAATGTGAAATGTGTCAAATCAAGATAAATATTGTGAATTCAAGACATTTTAAGAGTAAATGTTAAAGGTCCTATATTACACAAAATGGGCTCTTGTGAGGTTTAAGTCATGTTACAATGCTTTTAGGTCCTCAAAAACACACCTGGAGTTGTGTTTTGTTTCATTCACACATGTTTGAGTAGCCCTCCAAATGCTCTGCTCCAGCTTGTGATGTCATGTAGTGGTAGTTTCTAGTTAACAGCTACTTTTTCCCTTTAGTAATTCAGTAAAAGTACCTTTAGTAGTTCAGTAAAGATTGGCTATTCCGACATTGCTTCATTACAACACGTGTCTATTTAGATGTGCTGGTTTTCAGACACTTTTTAGTATCACTATTCCGACATGTCACATTTTTTTACATGCCGAAATGAATGACGCCCATGCTGCCTCAGTTTTACATTAGATATTTTCCCGAAGGCTGGCCTATGCTCTTTTTTAAAATGCATGACTGTTTCTCATGGCTCAGTTAGGACATTTTCTGAGAAGGTTCTTTCTGCGCCGTGGGTGCTTCAGATGTGCAACAGAACCTCCGTAATGGGCATTCCTGTAGCGTGTGATCAAACAAGCACTCTTCCGCTTTTTTGCTTCTTCTTAGCAAAAGTCTATACTGTCTATGATTGAAGCACAGCAGCAATACGTGTGTTTTATGAGAGGTTATGTAAGTATCATTTAATTGTACAGTTTGAGTAATTCCAGCGTCATGTTAGATGTAAATAAACAGAATGATGTTAGAATGTGATCAGAGCCTCTCCAGTCCATACGCTGACAATGAAAGCAACCAAGTGAACAATAGCCATGGCATGAGCCTTGACGTTCGCTGTTGATAGGCTGCAGAGTCGTAGCTCTACAGCAAGCCAGGGGTTTATGTTTATGTACCATTTTTTTGCCGGGCTATTAGACGCACTCTTAAGCCCCAATCAAAAAAACGACTGTGCGCCCCACAATCCAGAGCGCCCTATACACGAATCCACTTGGTGTCCCAGCACGACTTCAGTAAACTACAAAGCCGCACCACCCGCAGAACACACAAACACACACAGAGCAGACAGCGAAAGCACAGCGAAACACACCCACAGACACACTCATCACTCCACGCCGACGAGGAACGGAACGGAGGAACGAACTGAAAAAGCGAGTGTAATGTGCCACTTCTAGACACAACTGAACAACTGAGTCACTGCAAACACGCCGACAATCCAGCGTCCCAGACAGCCCCCTCCCTACACGCCACAACTGAACAAAGCCCAGAGTCACCGTGAACACCACAAACAAACAAAACCACTCACCCATCACACTGTTGGGTTTCCTTTAAAGTCCAGTGCGGTTTATTTGTGAAAAAAGTTTGAAAATAGACCATTTAATGACAGTGTGTTTTATAATCCAGAACACCTAATAGTGCAGAAAATACGGTACTTAGCAGACACATTTATCCAAAGCATTTCCCAAAAGCATACTTGCTACACTGTTATAGTAACTTAGTTGTCAGCATCGTTAACTAACTTGTTAACTTGGTTGCTTTCATTGTCACCGTACTTACCGGAGAACATGACGCCGGAATTGCTCAAACACAAAATACATGACACTTACTGACATAATCCAAGTACAGTGTGAACACAAGTATTTGTCATGAATGCAGTTTTTTTGTATCTACATAAGGAAGCAGGCAGTACAGCAGGGGACATTTTCAGAAGTAAAACAAAGCAGGACAACCCAACATTTTACTACGTGACATTTGGTGGCAGCTTAGCGTTTAAACTTGAAGTTCCTGCTTTTACTACTCAGTTCAATCATAGACATATATACATCTATATATGTTTGGATGGTTTCAGACCTGCAATGGTCACAGGTTGCTATTCCGACATGTCGCTATTTAGACACTGACGTCTAATTGTTGGAGTAGTGGCATAAACATTATTTTTCAAGCATCCCACTACTTCAACATTTTTTTTTTTTATGTTGAAGCAGCAGCACTACTATTTTATTTTTTTACATATATACATTTATGTCTATGTGTTCAATGCTGACATCAATGTACAACTCTTACTTACTTTGACATATATGTTAGACCAGATGTTTCTCGTGGAATGAGATGAAGAAGAAAACGGGAGATATTCCTGTTTAGGGAAGAAATGCTCATTTATGTTCCGCAGACCGACGGTATTGGATTTTCCCACTGTGTCCTGTGCGGCTGAAGTATTCTCTGATCAAGTGCTCAAACAAGTGCCCAAGCATCTTACGATATATGAGAGCTCAAAGTATAATAGGCTGTCACATTAATATTATTCATGTCAGACAAGTGGAATGTTTGAAAAATAGTATAGTGCTGCTACTCCGAAAAAAAAATAAAAATTGTGGGACACTTGAAAAATATGTTTATTAGACGTCAGTCTAAATAGTGACATGACTGAATAACAGCGTGTGACCATTGCAGGTCTGAAACAATCCAAACGATTCTAGTGAAGGTGTATGGAGTTTAAAAACACAGTGGAGCACTTCTTGTATTTCCACATCACAAGGTGGAACACAGCCTAAATCTGTAGGTTCATTTGTGTGTTAAACATGTGAATGAAACAAAAAAAACACAACTCCAGGTCTGTTTGTGATGAGAAAACGACATTAGAACATCATTATAACACAGATCAGAAAACAGTGTCATGTAGGACCTTAAATCTTGTTATTCCTGAATGTGTATTAATTGATTTACTCATTTCTTCCAGGCTACATCGCTGTGATAAAACGGACTTCACACATCAGTCCAAACAGACGCTGACGTGCGCTAACCTGCTAACCCTGTGTTGTTGTTTTGCAGCGGGAGGATTTGCTATCAGGACATGTACAAACTGTTACGCTTTATCTCCCCTCCACTCGGCCTGGGGAAGAAGTGCCCCAACAGAGTGGCCTATAAGGTTTGAACCAGAACCTCCACTTGGCCCCTCGGCTCCTAACGGGCCCCTCCAACCGAAAACAAACATTGATCCTCCACTAACGAGATGGCAGCTAACCGTGTATGGCCTAAACAATGCTGCGGTGTGGCTCCGTCGGAGGCATCAGCTGGATGTCGGGGTGATGGGGCTGTGGGCTCATCACTGTGGAGGACGAGAGCACAGACTGGGCTCGTTTAAACGCAGCATTGTTGTCATTCCAGTTACTGCCATTGTTTTAGCATGCGGAGGGCATCTTAAAGGAACAGGCCACTCAAATGTCGACTTTTGAAGGTTATCGGTGTTATTCCTGTAGTGTTAGTCAAATGGTTAAAGCAGCACTATGTTCCCACTGCACAAAGAAATGCTGAAACATTTTTGTTGGTCATTTTTGTACATCCAGTCTCTGTCCACTGAAGGTGTACACTGTGATGCCAATAATGTTTGTCATGTCGAGTGCAGGATTCGAACCACCAGCCTTCGGATCAGTGAATAAACACTGCCACCCTACAGTGCTGACCTTTTAGACTGTTTTTATGGTTGAACTCATAGACCCATAGAATTATAATCATTTTTGTATGAGTAGGCTACAATTTTCCACAAATTGCATTTCCAAATAAATAAACATACATACTTTACTTTACTGTTTAATTAGTTAATTAAACAGTATATAATTTTTTTCTATTTTATTTTAGTATTTTATTTTACCTATAATTTTTGAACTTCTTGTTATTGTTTTGATCAGGTGTAATTCTTATCACATTTTCTTATAATATTTTATATTATTGGCTTAAATTTCATTAGTTAACATAACCATATTATTTTTTGTTATCATATTAATTTAGCAGTTTTATATTATTAATTAGAATTTCATTATTAGTAATTACTTTATATTACAGATATTAATTTAAATTCCTGAACATAATTTTGAGGGGGTGTAGAGGCAAAATAAAATCTAAAATACAATAATTTAGAAAACAGAAAAAGATAAAATGATGAAAAAAGATATAACATTTGTAGCTGTAATGGAAACATATATAACCTTTGATTTTATTAATTTATAGCCTTTGATATATTGATTTCTAAAATGACCAGAGCCATGGTAACAGTGCTAAATAATAGGCCTGACCTGTTGTCTCTATAGGAAGGAGGAGTCACATATTTAGTTCCATGTTGACCCTTGTGGCGGGGTAAATGTCAAACAAGCTCCATTAGAATTTAGGTTTTATACATATAGTGTACTGATTAAATTGCAACAGCATGTTCAAATACCTCAGAATCCAGGTATTATGTTGTAGATGGATACACTAGAATAGGAGTGGGCAAGCTTTTTGACTCGTGGGTCACCAGGGATTCTAAAATTTGACTGAAGGGCCAGACCAGGAGCAGATGGATGGAGTTTGTTGGTAATCCACCTCAAAAGAGAAATAAAATAATAATAATGGGATATGTAGAAAACACATCCTATGTTTTTGAAATATCCCATAATTGAAAATTATTATTATTATAATTCAAGTTCGTCGGGCAGGACTAGAAAAGATTAAAGGGCCGCAAATGGCTTTATAATAACTACACTTTTAAAAGGCTTAATGAAGCATGAAATTCAGAATGAACAAAAAATTCATTAAAACTCATTCAGGCTTAGTTACTACTTAATGAATTGCCTAACTCCTAACCCCTTCATTGAGCAGTTACTAAACCTGAATCATTTTAATTAACTATTTGCGGTTTATCAAGAGGTTGAGATAAGTTTCCTCCGCCTGGTTGAGGAGCTCTCTCTCTGGGGAGGTGTTTGGGGCATGTCCTACCAGGAGGAGACCCAGGAAACGCTGCAGGCACTATGTCTCTGGCCTGGTCTGGGAACACCTCTGGACCCTCCCCACCCTAGAGTAGCTGGAGGCAGTGTGTGTGTGGAGAGAGAAGTTTGGACCTCACTGCTCAGACCAGTGCCTCTGTGTCCTGTCCTTGGGTGATGCAAACAAAATGAATGGAGCTTTATTTTGACTAATTAATGTGTAGTTATAATAAAGTGGCCTCCTTGAATCAGTTTGTGTACATATTGCTGCATTAACACATTAGATTTTTTAAGAAACTTCATTTAGATAATAATTTCTTAGTTATGATGTTTCAGATTCCTTCAAAAGTGTGAGACTGAAGTGGCTGTTCCCTTTAGAGAAACATGCTCTTGGTTTTCAGATGCGTCTCCTCCAGGACCCCTCCGTCCAGCCTGTGCAGAGGAGTCCGGTCATGCATGGTGTTCCCATAGACCAACCTGGAAACCTTATTAACAAGGCTTTCTGTGTCTCCTCTTCTTCTCTCATGTGACGGTTTAACCTGCACTTCCTGTCTTGCCGTAAACCCCGCCCCTTTCCTCCTCCATGTTGCTGTGGTGAAGTGGTCGCATCTGTTACCGGGATATGTACAACATGTTCCGGGACATGTCTCCTCCCCTTGGTCTGGGGAAGAAATGTCCGGCGCGGGTGGCCTATAAGGTAGAGCCTCACCCATCTCCACATGTACCATACTCATGTTCTGTTGTTTGGGATTGAATTTGACATCAAGTTGAGCTGCATATACAGACACACCCACTCAGCGTTTGTAGATCTCATAATAATTTCGGTATCATTGCTTTAAACATCTAGCCAGGCTGGCGCCACCTAGTGCCTTCGTTCAATTTCATTTCTCTCCAGCGACTAGGTCAGGAATCAGAATGCAATAGACGGTTTGCAAAAACAGTTCTGCACCAGCATGTCAGCGAAAAGTCATATATTCAATGTTGTCAACGATTCTTAAAGCCAGAACAAAGAGAATGTTTGGTGAATTTTATCAAGGGGAAAGACGTTATTGTCCTTCTTCCGGGGATTTGGGAAAAGCTTAATATACCAGTTGCATACGTCACGACCAAATAGCAGTGATTGGTTAAATGATAAAAAGTACCTGCCTACCGTCGAGCGAATGAAATCTAAGACTGCGAGGTCAGACAGTTTGTATGAAGTGAAACAAAGTAAAACCAGTTGATGAATCAGGCTATTAAACATTTGCTGATACCTGAGATTAACCAATGCCAGCGCAGAGACTGAAAACAGCATTTATTTTAAATAAAAAGGTATATATAAGACAAAACTGATTCAAATGTGTTATGTAGCTGTTTTTTGTTTTTTTTTAATCCCTGCAGTAACTACACAACAGTTTTGCATACTGTCATTTCTGGACTATAGCCTGCTTCTTTTTTCTTACACTTTGAATATTGTGGTTTATACAATGATGCGGTGAATATATGGACAGATTATTTGTTTATGGACACAGCAGATGTGTGCAGCCTGAGTGCAGAAAATGACGCTGTTTGTGCAGTTCACATGAAGTTTAAGCAATAGCTAGAGATGCTAAATGAACATTAGTGAGTGGGATATGTCTTAATGACTCACTGCTGGGCAAGTTACGTTAAAACTGCAGTGCGTTATTTATGACTTGTTACTGTCATTTCAAAGTCATTTGTTACATTACAATATTACTGTATTTAAAATGTAAGGCATTACATTACTATTGCAGCACTTTTAAGTTTCTCTCATCAGAATAATTGTGAAGATGCTGAACCTTTTGCGCCATATATGGACTGAACCAGGACTAAACCAGGGATAAACCAGGTCTAAACCAGGTCTAAACCAGATCTAAACCAGGATTGAATCAGGTCTAAATCAGAACTGACCCAGGTCTAAACCAGGTCTAAACAGCGCAGAGTTCTGCTCCAGTCCTTTCACCCGAGGTTACCTGATGGTCTACACGGGCTCGTCTCCGGCATTTCACCGCTGTTCATATCACAGTGATTTTAGTGAATTTGTATGAAGAAAAACTCACCACTTCAGTCCAGGTTAAAAGCATAAAAAGCATTGTAACGCGTGTTAATGAAATTTTTTCCCAGCAATGTCACATTACTGCGTTACAGCAAAAAGCAATGCATTACAGTCATTTGTTACTTTTATAACGCGTTACTCCCAACACTGATGACCTGTATGAGTTAAATGCAGGTGAATGTGTAAATGATGAGAAGAAACCTCTCAAACTTCAGTAGCCGGACCTCCACTCATACCTGATCCATACACCTATCCCCGCCCCCAGGAGAGTCTGAAATCTGCTGAAATCCTACAAGACACTGACATGATACAGACAGAACAGAGACTCTTTCTGCAGAAGACATGCGCATTAGAGCCAAGTGACATAGCCTGATAATCTTGTCATAATGCTGCCGTTTTACTACCGTGTTACAGGCACTGCTTGGAAAAAAGTACTGGTGTTTAATTAAAATAAAATAAAAATCTTTCTGTGTAAATATCTCAAGTTACAACGTGAACACCTGCAGCTTATAGACAAGTGCGGCCCATATATGTACACTTTTTTTTTCCTTTTAAAATTTAGTTGATGTGACTTATATTCAGGTGCGCTCAATAGTCCAGAAAATTCTGTGAATATTCAGAGATTTTCTGGATCAACTACTGCCTTATTACATCAATTAATCTTCCTAATCAGGTTATCAGCAGAACTGATATTTGGAAACCGATAAGTGATCCACCAAATTTTTCAGTTTCTCCCAGACATCTAATACCAATACAGGGTCAGTACATGTCTAACTGCAGTTAATGTTTGTTTTAGTAGTCAACTAGTCAAACGGTCATTTTGATTGTATATTGAGATCTTTCCAAATACACTATCAATCAAATACAGGTTAAAGTATGATGCTGAAAACTTCTAAGTCATCATAAATATATGTTTGTTGTAGTCAAGATTAGTTGGAGAGTCAGTGCAGCTCTAATGTAAGACCTCAGATATCATAAAGACAAAACTGTGAGAGAAAGCAGGCAGATTGGTTTAGAGTCCAGAGGGAGTGACACTGGATGTGCACTGTCACCATGGAGACTACATTTGTGATTTGAGAGAAAGAAAACAGATGAAAGATGGTTAGGATGACCTATGATTCACAGTATAAGTTT